TTCTTTCGAAGGCGTTCGAGCAAGTCACGAGCTCCAAGCTTGTCGTCAGTTGTTAGGGTCTGTATAAACTCTTTCTACTCCCCTGTTTGTTGTAAACAAATTCTGTAGACGCTCTGTTATAGCCCATGTTAGGCTGCTACTTGAGGCCGGAGGCCATTTTATGTTGGATTGTTGTATGTTAAAATCATGCTGGCAGTTGGATTATATTATGATGTAAATTATGCAGGTTGAATATTGTTGAGTTTGAGCATTTTACAGGGGAGACTGCCAAAATTTTGGTAGGATGTCTTGGATTTTTAGTAAGTGGGCCCGGCATCAGTGTGATGTCGGCACCAAGACGGGATCCGCCTCGGGTTCAGGGGAAATTCTGGGGCGGGTCCTGTCATATATAGTTTTGAAAATTAATAATTATAAATATCAATTTTATGAAATATTAAAATATGGGGTTTCACACACCCTCTTTGGTTGATGTTCAATTTTATTATAGGCACTTCCCAAAAACAAAATTAAAAAAAAATAAAAATTTTTGAATTTTTTTATAATAAATACTTAGTCATATTCTTCACTTCCCACACAAAAACTCTATACAAATTCCTCTCCTCATATCTCATGTGAATAGTGGTTGCCATGACAATGAGTGGAAACACCACAACCTTTTGCAATGGCTACCACTATTCACATGAATAGTAACAGCCATTGCCTTGCCCTTGCCCTTTGTCATGAAAAATGGGTGGAAGTGCTCTAACCGTCGTCTTTGACTACAACAAATATGTTTTCTTTTTCTTTCTTGGGGCAAAAAGAAAACTGTTAATTAAACTTTCTTTATTAAAATACATTTCATTGATTTAAATGATGTGCGTATGATATGTACATGTCACATCATGTGGTGTAGAACTGTGAGATAAAAATATAGTAGGTGTAGCATTACTCTATGCAAAATAATGAAGTAGACAATGAATATAGAGAACCAGAGAATCGGATATTAACAACTGGTTGCTCATAAGCTTCGATACAACAATATAGCCCATTCTACAATGGCTATTTCTAACTGGAAATGCATTTTTACACCACACATAACTCTTGAAGTAATTCCAAGAGATATATAGACACAACACTTGAATTCTAAGAGTACAACTTTTCATATAAATAAGAGACATTGGAACTTTGTAGGAACGTATACAACTGACAAGATTATTTTTATCCTTAATTTTGCAGACAATGCATTGCTATCATGTACGTCGTTTTCCTCCCAATTTGATGCGGACCTTCAATTTTAGCCGTCCAGCAAATCGTGCAGCTAGGAGGGAAAGAAAATTGTTGGAATATTGATTCAACCTATTCACACTCACAAACTTTAGCTGCACAATCCTTCAAGCATTAAGATTAAACAACGGAATGCAGAGGAATAAAAAACTGAACATGAAACAGATGAGCTTCTTTTGCTCCTAGAGACTAGAGAGCACTCTGCCGAAAGCAATACAAAATTAGAGAGCACTAAACCCATAGCAAAAGATCCAACCACGCACAATAAACAAGATCCAACAAAATGAAAAAAAGTAACAAAAGCCCAGGCCAGAACAAACAAAAGCCCAACAAAACAAACAAAAATTTTAAAAAAAACCCTAACCACCACCACATGGAAGGAGAACCACTAATTTGCCCCAGCACCGAAGGAACCCAGCAACTACACCGTCAAGATAACACCAAGCATGGGCAATAAACAAAACATATCGTACATAAACCACTGCCAAGAAAAAATAAACAAAGCATGGGCAATAAACAAAACATACCCTAAACCCTAAAATATTAAAGTGGCTTTGAATTCGGTGGGCTTGGTTTAACTTTCAACATATCTCTCCTCTTTATCCCTAATTTCTCTCCAAGGCACTCTTTTTGTGGACTGAAACGTTCGAAGAGCTTGACTTGACTTGGGTATTTCAGTATTATACCTTTGCTGCAACACGCAACCACTGCCAAGAAAAAAAAAAATCACGAAACAGGTCGTTCGGTTCAACTTTTGCCATTTTCTAGTGGTGATCAGAGCAGCTGCATAGTTGAAGCTCATGGGTTCCAGGGCAGCGCGTGAAGCCTCCTCAATGCAATGGAAATACCACATATTCTTGAGCTTCAGAGGTGAAGACACTCGCAAGGGCTTCACGTCCCACCTTCACAAGGCATTAGAAAGCAGGGGATACGATGTTTTTATGGACGAGGACGATCTACAAGTAGGGCAAGTTATAAAACCAGAACTGTTGCAGGCAATCGAAAAGTCCAAGATCTCTGTAATTGTCTTCTCAACGAGGTATGCAGATTCCAGTTGGTGTCTAGATGAGCTGGTGAAGATCATGGAGTGTAGAAGAACACTGAATCAAATCGTTTTCCCAATATTCTACAAGGTGGATCCTTCAGACGTCAGGAAACAGACTGGTACTTTGGCATCTGATTTTCAGAAACATACCATCCGACATAAAGATGAGGTGGTAAAGGAGTGGAGAAAGGCTCTTACTGAAGCTGCGGATTTGTGTGCCGGGGTTCTCGAAGACAGGTAATCAGTGATTTCCTTGGAAGCTGCGGATTTACTATATATATGCATATATTAATACTACTTACTAGTTCAGTATTGATGAAAGCTACTTTGATAGGATTTATGTGTATAGTTTTAGTACACATTTATCTTTATGTTTAGAAACTTATATATATGCAGATCTCGACAAAATATGAGTTCTTTTGGTAATTACCAAATTTGGTATTAAAAAAAAAATTTAATGATTCATAAAATTGGGTGGATTTTGGTACTTTACAAAACCAAATACATTTTGAGTGAGAATTTTAAGTTTGAAAACATGAAGAATAAAAATTGTCTCGGAAATCGGTCAATTCAGCAAAATTGGATACATGATGATCAATGCTTGTGTATATGTTCTATAGGTAATAATTTGATGTACTATATGTAAATACAATTTTGATCTCTTGGACTACAGGGGTCCAGGAGATTGTGGTCACCCACCGTTGGATATTAATTCAACAGTTCAAAAAAGTTTTTTAAAATGAGTGCAAGAGGAAGTGAATCGTTGAATTTACATCCAATGGTGAGTGATCACAAATCTCTTGGACCCCTGTAGTTCAAGAAATCGGAAATGTATGTAAATATACTTTAAACTAAGAATCAACTTTATAGTGATCTAGATTCATAAAATTTTAAATTATTTGGGGATTAAGATTTTATGGGAGAAAAACATTGTCGGGAATATATATTTTAGCTATTTAGTGCTCGTGTTAAATTCTCCTTTTTCTTGGCAGACATGGACTTAGCCAAATTGGTAAAAATAGATATGCTCCTCACTCTGGACCCGAGTTTAAATCCCTCCCCTCGTATTTTAGATCAAATTAAAATAAAATATCATTTGCATAATAAAAATATATAATAAAGATGTTATCATAATTACTTGAAGAATAAACTGCATAATTGCCCCGAAATATCACCTAATTTTCGAATTCCTCCTGTACTTTTATGTAGTCAATTAAGAATGCAAATGAATATTTTTGGCCAATGTCCCCCGTATCGTCAAAGTTCCTAACATTTCATCCACTTCTCATTCAATATTAAAGTTAAATTTGTCATCTCCTATATACTTATTTCAAATAAAAATAAAACTAATCATGAAAGTTAAAAGAGAAAAAAAAAAAAAAAAAACATATGCAGCACCTATAGGGGTGTACGTCGGTTTGAAACCAATATAATTAAGTCAGTCCGCATCGGATCCAATATGGATTGGATTGTGTTTTTTTAATCCAATCCCATCATATTAGATGTTTAAATCCAATCCGATCCAATTGATATTTGATTGGATGATCGATTTTGATAACGAAAAGAATATAATAATATTAAATATTAACCATTTATCCTTAGGTTTAATCTAATAAAAAATATTAATAGACGTAAATATAAAATAGAAATGAAATACTAGAGAAAATTGTTTTGATTATATAATATATTAAATATAACTCCATTATATGATTTAAAATATTCATAGGGTCTTGATTTTCCCACTCCCCTTTTGTCTACTTAATTTTTCATAGTTTTTACTATAACAAAGGCTTATTTTTTCATATACCCCTTGAAAGTGTATTTGAGTCTCACTTTGCCCCCTGAAACTCTTTTTGTCACACTTTACCTTTTATTTCACACAAACTTGTCTCACTTTACCCCATTTTTCACAAAATATTAATTTAAAATTGAAATTGAAATTTTAAAACTTAAAATCCATAAAACATTTGTAAAGAAAATTAATATTTTAGAAAATATAAAAACAAAAACTACATCCCTGCCCCTGCCCCTCCACCTCCCCATCCGTCTCCCCCTACCCCTCCCCCTCTGCCCTATCGTCCTCTTTTGGTTCAGCATCCTTGGAGTCTTTACTGTGCTCCCTGTGCCCTGTTGAGTTTGATATTTTAGACTCTTTTTGGGCTTTGTTTCTCCTGATCATACCAAGACATTGAAATCCAATTCAAAACCATACAGAAAAGCAATTAGAGTTCCGGTGAGAAATAGGGAAGTTTAGAATTGTTGCAGAGATAGGAAGAAAACAAAATAGAAAACATGTAGAAGGGACCAATAAATATAAGAGCATGTAGCAGAGACAAAAAAAGAGAGAGAAGAGCATGTCGTCAAACAAATCCGGCAAAACAACAAATATGAATCTTTTTTTAAAACCACCCACTTTTCAAACAATTGATATGGGGGGAAGATAGGTTTTTTTTTTTTTTTTTTTCCTTCCCTTGGAGAAAGGAAAACTTGTTGACAGGTAAGATTTTGAGGCAAAGACGCAGGAAGAAGGAAAACTTTTGCGTTAGTTGAGTTATAGGGCTTTTCTTTTTACTTTTTTAATTATTAGTAAATTGGATTTTTGTTTTAAAGATGACATGTAGAATATCGCTTGTATAAAAATATTAATAATGATAATTGAGACCTAACATAAATGCAAATAAATAGAAAGTTGACATGTAGAAATATAATGTTTCATCATAACGAGTCTTTTGTTTTGCTTCCGAATTCAATTTTCAGGAATGAAGCAAAGTTTATCGAGGCATTCATTGAGAATAATATTGTCGGACGGCTGTCCACAACTCCCCTACCAGTAGCCGCTTACCCGGTTGGAGTCGACTCTCGTGCACATGATATGGTCAGTTATATTTTAGGTGGTGGATCACAAGATGTTGTCGTGATTGGAATTTGGGGGATGGCCGGACTGGGCAAAACAACAGCTGCGAAGGCCATTTATAATCAAATTAAGGATAAATTCGAAGCTCATGGTTTCCTTGGAGACATTAGGGACACTGCAAATAGACATGGTCTTATTTATTTGCAAAAGCTACTTCTTGCTGAAATCAACAAGAAACCGACCAAATTTCACGTAAGTTGTGTTGATGGAGGGATGGGTATGATAAAAAAAGAACTTGGACGTAAAAGGGTACTTGTAATTATCGACGATGTAGATGAAAAGGAGCAACTCGAAGCGATAGTTGGAAATCGTGATTGGTTTGGCTCTGGAAGTAGAATTATAATAACTACTAGAGATAAACATTTTCTAGACGTACTTCATGTGAATAAAACTTTCACGGTTCCAGAAATGAATCCAGATGAAGGTCTTGAGCTCTTTTGTCGGCACGCCTTTCAAAAAGGTTGTCCTAATAAACGATATCTTGAACTCTCGAAAAAGGTAGTTTTTTATAGTGGAGGTTTGCCGCTGGCACTTATAGTTTTAGGCTCTTTCTTGATTGGAAGAACCATAGCAGAGTGGGAAAGCCAATTGCAGGAATTGGAAAGAATCCCTCCTAAAGATATTCTTAAAAAACTGAGAATAAGCTATGACGGTCTAGATCGTGACGAGAAGTGTATATTCCTTGATATATCTTGTTTCTTCATTGGAATGAACAAAGACCATGTCAGAAAAATATTAGATGGATGTGGCTTTAAAGCAGAAATAAAAATCAGTGTCCTCCTTCAGAAGTGCCTTGTAACTGTTAATGAAGAGAACCAGCTAACGATGCATGATCTACTTCGAGACATGGGCAGAGCAATCTGTCAAGAAGACCGGAGTAGATTGTGGCTCAGCCCTGAAGATTTGACAGATGTATTGGAAGACAAATCTGTAAGTACTTTTTCAATAAAAGTTTAGAATGGCACATACAAGATAAGCCTATGTATGCGTAACATAGTCGGTTTTCCAACCCCTAATAGATAGAATTCCTTGCATGTGTACGTAATAAAGTCGGTCTCATTTTCCAATTCTTTCTATTGGTTTGAACTTGCATTAAGAAGGCGCAGTCAGGCAAAATCAACCAAACTATACGTTTTGCCAACCAAACTTCATGTGTACGTACTATTATAGCTTTTGTTAACAATCCTGTAGATAAAGAATTTGGTTAACACATGCAATTTTCATGTGTGTAAATCTTTTGCCAACAATGCTTCTTTTACTGAGTGCCTTTTTTTTAATAGGAAACAAAAAAAGTTGAAAGACTTGCTCTAAATCTGCGAAGCTCGGAAAAGGCTAGTTTCGGTACTGAAGCATTTAGCGAAATGAGAAAACTGAGATTGCTCCAGCTCAACTATGCAGAGCTCACCGGAGAGTACAAATTTCTTTCCAAAAATTTAAGATGGTTGTGCTGGCATGGATTCCTTCTAGATTCGATACCAGGCGACTTTGATCTAACAAGCCTAATTGCTATGGACCTGCAGTTTAGCAAACTCAAAATAGTTTGGAAGGATTGCAAGGTAAGTTGGAGAACTAAACCAAAGTGCATTATTATTGCATTCAAGAAGTTTCAATATTGAGTCTTTTTTTATTCTGTTATTTAATAAGTTCATGTTTTAGTGGGAAAAATAACCAATCAGCTATTTTATTAGTAGGATGATGAAGGGTCTTTAATTATGAGAAAGTATTAAGATGTGAGAGTGGGTTTTAGGTCATGATAAGAGAAGTCTTTTAAATGGGTCTTTTATATCAATGTTATTCGTTGAACTGAATTAAAATGAAATAGCATATTCTCTCAAGAAATTAGTGTCTATTTGTGTTGTGTATTTCTCTTCCTCCTACAAGGTATAATAATCTCAACCGAGTTGTTAGTTTTTGCTGTCTGGTTTTATACATACATTATGTTCACTTTCTCTTCTTTTTGCATATGTTTTTATCAGACCTTTTCGGATTTTAATTTCCATTTTAATTTTGTTTTTGTATAACAGGTGCTTGAGAAGTTGACAATCATTAATCTGAGTCATTCTCATGATCTAACAACATCACCAGACTTTTCAAAAGTCCCAAATCTCGAGGAGTTGATATTGGAATGTACGAGTTTGTCTGATGTCCATGAATCCATTGGTGATCTCAAAAGACTTGCTTTGGTAAATCTTGAACACTGCAAAATGCTTAAAGATCTCCCACTGAATTTATATAGATCCAAGTCTATTGAAACTCTTCTACTTAATGGTTGTTCAAGATTTGAAAACTTGGCTGAGGGCTTAGGGGACATGGTATCATTGAGGACTCTGGAAGCAGACGATACAGCTGTGACAAAAATACCATCTTCCATAGTAAAATTGAAGAACCTGAGATCTTTAGCTCTATGTGGTTTGGCACGGTTAACTGGCTTTTTGCCCCATTCTTACCTGAGATCAACTGGTTTTTTGCCCCCTTTGTTAGATGGCTTAAACTCTTTAAGAAAATTAGCTCTTGCAGACTGCAATTTAACTGACGATGAACTCCCTAAGGATCTCGGGAGCCTAAGTTCGTTAGAATATTTAGATTGTGGACAAAATTCTTTTTGTAGACTGCCAAGCCTAAGTGGTCTTTCAAAGCTGGAATATTTGTGTTTAAATGACTGTAGACAACTTCGTGCAATCCCAAAATTACCGACAAATCTGAAAGTTCTGAGAGGGTTTGGCTGCACAGCATTGGAAACCATGCCAGATTTTTCAGAAATGTCAAGTATAAGAGAACTGTATTTATCTGATTCGGACAAACTCACTGAGATTCCTGGCCTGGATAAGTCATTAAACTCCGTGACAAGGATTCATATGGAAGGCTGCACCAATCTCACCACCAATTTCAGAAAGAAAATCCTACAGGTCAACCCTTCTCTCTCTCTCTCTCTCTCTCTCTCTCTCTCACACACACACACACACACAGAGACACACACACACAGACATACTCACAAATTTGGCTCTACATGGTATAGGGATGGACTTCTTGCGGATTTGGAGGCATTTATCTTGAAGGAGGAATTTACGATTTTCCTAAGTGGTTCAAGTTGGTCGGTAATGAGTACAATGAAGTGGATTTTGAAGTGCCCCAATTTTTCAGTTGTGATTTAAAAGGGTTAACGTTGTGTTGCGTTTACTCTTCAGACAACCCAAAACCAAAAGATGGTCTTGGCATTATGGTTAGAAATGTAACGCAGGGAACTACTTTGCACACCTGGCCAGCAATTGCCTCGGTAAAAACAGACAGTAAACCTGAAGATTATTATCTTTGGCAGGGACAACTATCGAACGATAGGCTCAGTTTGCAAGGTGGGGATAAAGTCTTGCTCTCTGTATTTGCTACAGTTGATTTTGTGAGAGTGAAGAAAGCAGGGGTCAATCTAAAATGGGACAAAGTTATGAAGGAAAATATGCATGATTCGGATCCTCATCTATATGATTTGTCGAGAGCTCCAGATGAGGCAGGACCAAGCCAAGGCGAACCATTAAGAGAATTTGTTCCTGCTTGCAGTTTTACTGATACTGCAATCTACAACGATCTTGGGAGTTTAATTTCTTTAGAATACTTAGATCTTCGAAAAAATAATGTTCTTAGCCTTCCCTGCCTCAGTGGTTTGGTAAAACTTGAGTGGTTATGTTTAAATCACTGTAGAAATCTTAGTGCAATCCCAGATTTACCAACAAATTTGAAAGTTCTGGAAGCAGCTGGCTGCATTGGATTGGAAACAATGCCAGATGTTTCAAAAACGTTGAACATGAGAGAATTGTATCTATGTGATTCATTCAAACTCACTGAGATTATAGGCTTGGATAAGTCATTAAACTCCATCACAAGGATTCATATGGAAGGCTGCACCAGTCTCACTGCCCAATTTAGGAACAACATCATGCAGGTAAATCCCTCTCTCTCTCTCTCTCTCTCTCTCTCTCTCTCTCTCTCTCTCTCTCTCTCTTATTTTTCTTTTTTTAACACGTAAACAGACGTATATGTTACATGTACACATGCATGCATAAGAATGTATTTCTTATACAAATCTTGCTCTGCATGGTATAGGGATGGACTTCTTGCGGATATGGTGGCATTTTTCTTAATGGAAATGATATTCCTGATTGGTTCGACTTTGTCAATGAGAATAACTTTGTGGATTTCACTGTGCCTTCAAGTGCTCGTCGTAGTTTTACAGGGTTAACTCTGTCCTTTGTTTACTCTTTAGACTTCGAACTCAAAGCTCCAATTACCATTAACATTACAAATTTTAGCCAGGGTACTGATTTTGACGCCTTGATGACACATGCCTCGCTACACTATCTCTGGAAACCTGAAGAGCATTATCTTTGGCAGGGACAATTATCAAATGACGTGCTCCAATTGCAAGAAATGGACACAGTCCAGATTCGCATAGTACCTCATGATGATTCTGCCAAGGTGAAGAAAACCGGGGTTAGTCTAGTATGGGATAAACTTATGAAAGAAAATATGATTGATTACAATATTTGTGGGTATAGACATCACCCATCTCAAAATCTGGTCAATGATTATGAGGCTTACTCAGTTGGAATTACTTCTCGGCTGGAGGTTTTGAGTAATCACTTAAATTTTGAAACTTCAGGTTCTAAGGATGTTGTTCGCATGATTGGTATTTTGGGGATGGGCGGCATTGGGAAAACAACGCTTGCCAAAGCCATTTATAACAAATTTGAAGGTAGGAGTTTCCTTGCAAACGTGAGGGAAGTAATTGCAAACCAACCCATTACTGGTCTGGTGGGTTTGCAAAAACAACTTCTAAATGATATCTTCAAAAGCAAGGGCCACATAAAGTTTGACTCTGTTGCTAAAGGGATCGAGATGATAAGAGAAAGACTTCCCTGTAAAAGAGCACTCGTCATAATTGACGATGCAGATGATCTACAGCAACTAAAAGCAATAGCTAGAGCTCGTGATTGTTTTGGTCCTGGAAGTAGAATTGTTATAACAACAAGAAATCAACATTTGCTAGAGCAAATTGGAGTGGATAGCATATATATGGCTCAAGAAATGGATGAAAAAGAAGCTCTAGAGCTCTTTGGTTGGCATGCCTTTGAAAGTGGTTATCCTAATCAAGAATATCTTGACCTCTCAAAACGTGTAATTCGTTACTGTCAAGGCTTGCCTCTAGCACTTGAAGTTGTGGGGTCTTTTCTGAATAAAAGACCCATAGCGGAGTGGGAAAGCCATTCGGAGAAATTGGAAAGAAGTCCTGATGAAGATATTCAAAAAATACTCAGAATAAGCTATGACGGGCTACCTGATCCTAAAAAGAGAGAGATATTCCTTGATATATCTTGTTTCTTTATAGGAATGGACAAGGAATATGTAACACAAATATTAGATGGATGTGGCTTTGATGCAACGACAGGAATCAATGTCCTCATCGAACGGTGCCTTGTAACTATTAGTGAGCAAAACAAGTTGATGATGCATGATTTGCTTCGAGACATGGGAAGAGAGATCGTTTATGAAAATGCCCACGGTGACCCTGAAAAATTTAGTAGATTGTGGAAACGTGAAGACATAATAGATGTATTGAGCTATGAATCTGTAAGTACTTTCCTAATAAAGTTTTAGAATGCATCATGCAAGAGAAGTATATGTATCCCGTGTCTATAATAAATTAAAATGTCCTTTTCGATTTTTTGTTTTGTTTAGTACAAGCAATATAGTCTAAACCAAAGTAAAAGAGGAGGGTTCTCACACATCCACACTACCAAAGTGCCATATGAATTTGAACCTGAGACCTTAGTCTGCAAGTTTAGATCATTTTTAACTTTGCTAGGTCCGTTGCCATTTCTTATATTATATCCATCAAGAGCAAACCTCAATTAGGCATAACCAACAAAAAATATATGTGCTTTGTTTGCAATTTCATGTTTGTAAATCATTTTTCTAACTCGGTATCTTTTGTTAACAGGGAACTGAAGAAATTGAAGGAGTTGCTCTAGATTCTGATCTAGATTCGGATCTAGATTTGACTAGATTCAGTGCACAAGCATTTGCCAACATGAAAAAACTGAGGTTACTCCACCTCAGCGGAGTAGAGCTCACTGGAGAGTACAAAGATTTTCCCAAAAAGCTAATATGGTTGTACTGGCATTATTTTCCTTTAGAGTCCATACCAGATGACTTTCCTACGCAACCAAAACTAGTTGCTTTAGACCTGCGGCATAGCAAACTCAAAATAGTTTGGAAGGATTGCAAGGTATAATAATCTCAACCTAGTTGTTGTTGGTTCTTTCATTTTGGTTTAATTTCTGTATCAGAGACCTTCCTTTTGGATTTTAATTTCCATTCGAATTTTGTTTTTGTGTAACAGTTGCATGAGAATTTGAAATTCCTTAATCTCAGTTATTCCTCTAAGCTAACAAAATCACCAGAATTTTCAAAACTCCCAAATCTCGAGGAATTGATATTGGAAGGCTGTGTGAGTTTGTCGGAGGTTTACTCATCCATCGGGGATCTTCAAAGACTTTCTTTGGTAAATCTTGAAGGCTGCATAAGGCTAAGGGATCTCCCACTGAATTTCTATAAATCCAAGTCTGTTGAAACTCTTCTACTGAATGATTGTTTAAGTTTTGAAAAGTTGGCTGAGGGCTTAGGGGACATGGTATCATTGACAACTCTGGAAGCGAATAAGACAGCCATAAGACAAATACCATCTTCCATATTAAAATTGAAGAAACTGAAAGTTTTATCTTTATGTTATGTGGAAGGGTCGCCATCAACAAATCTTTTGCCTCATTCGTTGCAAAGTTTAAGCTCTTTAAGAGAATTAGCTCTTGCAGACTGGAGTTTAACCGATGATGCATTCCCCAAGGATCTCGGTAGCCTAATTTCCTTAGAAAGGTTAGATCTTGCACGCAATGACTTTTGCAGCCTACCAAGCCTCAGTCGTCTTTCACAGCTTCAAGATTTGTCTTTAGATCAGTGCAAAAATCTTCGTGCAATCCCAGATTTACCAACAAATTTGAAAGTCTTACGAGCAGGTGGCTGCATTGCATTGGAAAAAATGCCAGATTTTTCAGAAATGTCAAATATAAGAGAATTGTATCTAAGTGATTCGGGCAAACTCACTGAAATTCCAGGACTGGATAAGTCATTAAACTCCATGACAAGGATTCATATGGAAAAGTGCACTAATCTCACTGCCGATTTTAGGAAGAACATCCTCCAGGTCAGTCCTTCTCTATCTCTCTCTCATACATCTTTCTCTTTCTATCTGTTAGTTTAAGAGAAAAGAGGGTTAGAGAATGGTTGGTAGTGTTTAAGACAATAGCTTAATTTGGAATGGAAAACTTTTCAAAGACGAACAAGGTAGTTTTTATTCTATTGATTGAGGTAGGAAAGGTTCAAGGCTTTAATACTTGAGTTTGATGATTGCATTAATTGGACTGTAGTTTTCCAGCTTACATTTTTGTATAGGCATCAAGCCCATATATAGGAGACTTAACCGACAGTAGCTTAGTCGGTGAGATTAGCTCTTTGAATATTTTATATTATAGCACACTTTGATCTCTCAGATTTTTTGTATTCACCGACTTTGTTAAGTCGGTTTGCACATTCATTAAAATTCTAGACTTTTCTATATCATTCAAGACTTTTGTATACTATTTAAGGTACAGGTGTGTATTACTTTTTAATATTGTCTCATACAACGCATATGTACACATGCATGCATAAGAATGTATTTCTTATAGAAATTTGGCTCTACATGATATAGGGATGGACTTCTTGCGGATATGGTGGCATTTGTCTCAGTGGAAATTATATTCCTGATTGGTTCGACTATGTCCCTGACGATGATATTGTGTATTTCACTGTGCCTCAAAGTGTTGGTCGTATTTTGAAAGGGTTAACTTTGTCCTTCGTTTACTCTTCAGCCATATACGAGAATGTTTGCATTAGCATTAAAAACATGACCAAGGGTACTGAGCTTGACGCCATGATATTACACAACGATTTTTCAACGCCAATTGAGTATCTTTGGCAGGGACAGTTATCAAATGACGAGTCAACTGAGTATCTTTGGCAGGGACAGTTATCAAATGACGAGCTCAAATTGCAAGACGGTGACGAAGTCTTGATTGAAATAATAAAAAAATATAATTCGTTGATGGTGAAGAAAACAGGTGTTAGTCTGGTATGGGACAAATTTATGAACGAAAATCTGATTGATTACCATCTTTGTCGATATGAACGACGCCCATCTCAAAATCTGATCAATGATGATGACACCATTCGTGTCGAAAATGATAATCGCATAACATATTTACCAGACTTTTCAAAATTCCCAAATCTCGAGAAGTTGATATTGAAAGGTTGTAAGCGCTTGTATAAGGTTCACTCATCCATCGGGGATCTTGGAAGACTTTCTTTGGTAAATCTTGAAGGCTGCCGAAAGCTAATCCGTTACAACTCCGATTCGAGCCCACTACGTGTCTACGAACTCATCTCACCGTGCTCTACGCAACGGTACAACCGGAATTCCCAAATTCCTTCCGAGTAAGAAAATGACCAAAATACCCTTATCCCACGGGTAATTTCTCCATTCCACTTAAATTAATTAAACGCGGGATAAATTTGGGGTCGGGGTGTTACAGGTGAGAATTTTGAAATTCCATCTTTTACCCCTTTCGTTACATGGCTTAAACTCTTTAATAGAGTTATTATGTCTTGCAGGCTGCTGGTTGTCAACTGAGGATGCAATCCCTAAGGATCTATGTAGCCTAATTTCCTTAGAACATCTGCTTCTCGGAGGCAATGATTTTTGTAGCCTTCCAAGTCTCGCTGGTCTTTCAAAACTCAAGGTCTTGTGTTTAAATGCATGCAGAAAACTTCGTGCAATCCCAGATTTACCAACCAATTTGTATGTTCTGAAAGCAAATGGCTGCCCAAAATTGGAAACGATTTCAGATTTTTCAAAAATGTTGAATATGAGAGAATTGTATCTCTGTGATTCGTTCAAACTCACTGAGGTTCCAGGCTTGGATAAGTCATTAAACTCCATGACAAGGATTCATATGGAAGGCTGCACCAATCTCACTGCCGATTTTAGGAACAACATCATACAGGTCAATCCTTCTCTATCTCTCTCTCATACATCTTTCTCTTTCTATCTGTTAGTTTAAGAGAGAAGAGGTTTAAGAGAGAAGAGGTTTAGAGAATGATCGGTAGTGTTTAAGACAATAGTTTAATTTGGAACGGAAAACTTTTGACAGAGAAACAAGGTAGTTTTTATTCTAATGATTGAGGTAGGAAAGGTTCAAGGCTTTAATACTTGAGTTTGATGATTGCATTAATTGGACAGCTGTAGTTTTCCAGCTTACATTTTTGTATAGGCATCAAGCCTATATATAGGAGACTTAACCGACAGTAGCTTAGTCGGTGAGATTAGCTCTTTGAATATTTTATATTATAGCACACTTTGATCTCTCAGATTTTTTGTATTCACCGACTTTGTTAAGTCGGTTTGCACATTCATTAAAATTCTAGACTTTTCTATATCATTCAAGACTTTTGTATACTATTTAAGGTACAGGTGTGTATTACTTTTTAATATTGTCTCATACAACGCATATGTACACATGCATGCATAAGAATGTATTTTTTATAGAAATTTGGCTCTACATGGTATAGGGATGGACTTCTTGCGGATATGGTGGCATTTTTCTCAGTGGAAATGATATTCCTGATTGGTTCGACTATGTCCATGACGATGATATTGTGTATTTCACTGTGCCTCAAAGTGATGGTCGTAATTTGAAAGGGTTAACTTTGTCCTTCGTTTGCTCTTCAGCCAGATACGACAGATGTTGCATTAGCATTAAAAACATGACCAAGGGTACTGAGCTTGACGCCTGGATCATACCCGATTGTCGAACTCTGGGTTATTATCTTTGGCAGGGACAGATATCAATTGACAAGCTCAAATTGCAAGACGGTGATAATGTCTGGATTGAAATAATAATAAAAAATGATTGGGTTATGGTGGAGGTGAAGAAAACAGGTGTTAGTCTGGTATGGGACAAATTTATGAACGAAAATATGATTGATTACTACCTTTGTGCGTATGAACGACGCCCATATCTGGTCAATGATGATTACATCATTCATGTCGAAAATGATAATCGCATAACAAAATCACCAGACTTTTCAAAATTCCCAAATCTCGAGAAGTTGATATTGAAAGGTTGTATGTGGTTGTATAAGGTTCACTCATCCATCGGGGATCTTGGAAGACTTTCTTTGTTAAATCTTGAAGGCTGCTACAACCTAAAGGATCTCCCGCTGACTTTCTATAAATCCAAGTCTATTGAAACTCTTATACTGAATGGTTGTTCAAGTTTTGAAAAGTTGGCTGATGGCTTAGGGGACATGGCATCATTGACAATTTTGGAAGCAGATGACACGTGCATCAGTCAAATTCCATCTTCCATAGTAAAATTGAAGAAGTTGAGAATTTT